TTGCAGTGATAGTATGAGCGCTATTTGCAGTAAAATCTTCTGCCAGTCTCCTAGATTTCACTCCAGTGATTGCTTCCTTTGTGGTTGAACTGAGCTGCTTGTGTCTTTATCCTGTATAAAATGTAGCAACTGCTTATGATCAATGTAGGAGTGTCAGTAGCAGGAGTCCAACAGGAAGTTTGATTGTGTAGGAATTAAATACTATTGTTTGAACTGCTGTATCCTTTTATTAAAAAAAAACAAGCTAAGCATGAATGTGGAAGTGAGATTAGTTGTTTACGTGAAAGCTAGGGTTGGCAAGGATTCTGATTGGGTTGCTAATCTCAATAAATAAACAATTTTTTTCAGCTTGCAGGGTTGGGATTTAGGTAAGCTAGGATACTGACTTTGCTGGGTTTGGATGCTGCAATCATTGTCAAGATTGAAGCATGCTTTGTCCTGAACGCAAGAGTCTTGGATCAAATGAAATGGGACACTCTGCAGTTACTGGTGCGTATGCTTTAACCATGTAAAACAGTAGAGCATCGTTAGAGGAACTGGCATAATTTCAGTATGCTCATGAAAGCAAACAAAATGTTCATGTAGTTAACATTGAAATATTCAAACATAGTTATTTACCTCCAACCAATTGATTACTTTGAAGAATAGTCAGTTATGTGGTTAAGCGCAGCAACCAGTTCGTGTGCACGCTTTCCTTTTGATGAGCTACTTTTTAGGACAACATAAACTTTTTTAATAATGTCTCCAATATACAAAGTTATGGTTTACAAGAAGTACAATATACCAAGAGTAGTGAGCTGTTAACTGGTTGTCTTTTACTCATTTTCTTGTATATTTTAAGCAATATTCTGTGCCACTATTCTCTGAATCCAAGAAAGCACTGTCTTGGACTTCATGATATGTCGCAGCCAGTATATTAGACGTCTGACCAATACTGATTTTGGTTTTAATGCAAGAGGCATTCAACACTTTACTGGATATCAAATTGGATATTGAGTTTAAGTCAGCCTTTGACATCCACAAGCATGCGCAGTAGTCGCAAAATCTCTGAAATTAACTGAAATTGTGATTAAAAGCTAACAAACCTTGAGAATGAGGAAAAAGTAGGTAACGAGAAAAAAGGGAAAAAATTGACTTTTAGTTTCTTTTAATCTACTTTATATTGTACATATGCACAGAAGAAAAAATCAGGTGAAAGTGTGCAGTCATAATTTACCACATTCCAGTAAACTTTGTAAATTAGTGTTCTTTGTTTGTGGTGCTGTTTGCAATAAGGCAGTCTTGTAAATGGGATGTGTATGTGTGACCTATAAGCTTAAAAAAGTATAATTACTCTGCATTTGTGAAATATGTTTGGGGCACCGCAGTTGGGTGGCTGGGGTGGGGGGTGGTGGGGGTTGGTGGGGGGAGGAAGGCTATAATTTAGAAACATAATTTTGTTGTTTAAGTTGGAAGGTCCAAGGAATTGAGAAATTGGAGTCAGATATACAGCACAGAAATATACCCTTTGGTCCAACTCGTCCATGCTGGCCAGGTAGCCTAAATAAATCTAGTCCCATTTGCTAGCATTTGGCCCATATCCCTCTAAACCCTTCCTATTCATATACCCATCCAGATGCTTTTTTAAATGTTGTAATTGTACCAGCCCCCACCGCTTCCTGTAGCAGCCCATTCCATACACGCATTATTCTCTGCATGAACATGTTGCCTCAGATCCCTTTTAAATCTTTCCCCTCTCACCTTAAACCAATGCCCTTTTAGTTTTGGACTCCCCCACCCCAGAGAAAAGACCCTGTCTATTTATCTTATCCATGCCCTTCATGATTTTATAAACCTCTATAAGGTCACCCCTCAGCCTTCAACACTCCAGGGAAAATAGCCCCAATCTATTCAGCCTCTCCCTATAGCTCCAACCCTGGCAACATCCTTGTAAATCTTGTCTGAACCGTTTCAAGTTTAACAACATGCTTCCTATAGCAGGGAGACCAGAATTGCATGCAGAATTCCAAAAGTGACCTAACCAATGTCCTATACAACCTCAAATGACCTCCCAACTCCTATACTCAATGCACTGACCAATAAAGACAAGTATACCAAATGCCGCCTTCACTATCCTATCCACCTGCAACTCCACTTTTGAGGAATTATGAACCTGCACTCCGAGATCTCTTTGTTCAGCAACATTCCCCAGGACCTTGCCATTAGGTGTGTAAGCCCTGCTCTGATTTGCTTTACCAAAATGCAGCACCTCCCATATATCTACGTTAAACTCCACCTGCCACTCTTCGGCCCATTGACCCATACGATCGTGATTCTGGTGTAAGCTGAGGTAACCTTCACTGTCCACTACACCTCCAATTTTGGTGTCATCTGCAAACTTACTAACCATATCTCTTTTGTTCACATCTATATAATTTATATAAATGATGAAAAACAGTGGACCCAGCACCAACCCCAATGGCACGCCAGTGGTCACAGACTCCTGTCTGAAAAGTAACCCTCCACCACCACGCTCTATCTCCTACATTCAAGCCAGTTCTGTATCCAGATAGCTAGTTCTCCCTGTATTCCATGTGTTCTAACCTTGCTAACCAGTCGACCATGAGGAACCTTGTCAAATGCCTTACTGAAGTCCATATAGATTACATCCACCGTTCTGCTGTCATCAATCCTCTTTGTTACTTCAAAAAAACTCAATCAAGTTCGTGAGACATGATTTTCTATACACAAAGCCATATTGACTATCCCTAATCAGTCCTTGCCTTTCCAAATATGTGGAAATCCAGACCCTCCGTATCCCATCTAACAACTTGCCCACCACTGATGTTGGGCTCGCCAGTCTGTAGTTCCCTAGCTTGTCCTTACCGCCTTTCTTAAATGGTGGCATCACATTAGCTGCCCTTCAGTCTTCTGGCATCTCACCTGTGGCTATTGATGATACAAATATCTCAGCAAGAGGTTCAGCAATCACTTCCCTTGCTTCCCACAGAATTCTAGAGTGCACCTGATCAGGTCCCGGGGATGTATCCACCTTTATGCACTCTTGGAGCAGAGGTGCTGAAATATGTTGATTGGAACACTTTTTTTCATCTATATGAGAAAAAGATGTGTAGAATGCACAAGTTTTAGGAATTGTAAAATCGTTATTTTAAACATAAAACTTTTTTCTTGAATTGTGATATAACCTAGGAGTTTATTTTAACTTTGTCAGTGGCCTGTTACATACTGCTATCTCTAACTTTATGTTGAGACTGGAAGAAACTGTCATTAATACCGAAGACAGGGCGAATAAGAGAATCAGACAGAAGAAAGCTGCCAAGTAAGCATGCTGAGATTAGAACAAGTTTGCTTGAGCTTGTTAGGAAGAAACCTTACAGCACATGTTACTGAATCTGTTATTCTTGGATGTTTTGGTTGACACAATGCTTACGGTAATTAACAGATACATTCATTTCATTGCTATCTAGCAACAATAAGGGAGTAGCTGCAGTCCTGCTAAATTTAGAGTATGATTATAGATAATCCTAATTATTACTTCACTGGACCAGCAGCTTTTTGTAGGCATAATAAGATGGTGTCAGAGCTGGCTAAGTGGAAAATGTGTTCATTGCTTCAGTTGAACTACTTTAAGTGGTAGCAGAGAAAGATTTGGGAGTTTATTAGAATAGTAATGGGTATATTGGAGCATTAGCACAATATCTCTTGAGTAGTGATGGCTAACTGATCATCCATAGTTGGCGAAGCTGCTCCTGTCTACTGCCCTAGCTGAGGAAAAGATGAGCAACTGAAGATGGTATTCTTTCAGGATCTTTTTGGCCTGTTGCTGAATATTCACAGACAACTTTTGTGAGCCAGACAGTTAAAATGGAGCTGTTTTCAGCTTCATTGCTGACTCCCTGTTGTCGACTGATAACACACATGCTCATTAGGTGGTGATTTGCATTTAGTCAGTCATTATGGGAGTTGAAAATTGAAATATTTGAGTGCCAAAAAATGGAACCAAATGTTTTTTTTAAGTAAATCTTCCAGCTTACATTGAACATGGAAAATATCTTTTGATTTTGAAGATAAGAATGTCGAACTAATCGTATACTTGTCACATCATAAGAACCTAATTTAACAACAAGACAAGACCGTACAGCCCATTTGGCTCTGTTCCATCATTTATTATGATCATGGCTAACCTTGGGCTTCAAATCTACTTTCTCTCCTGGTCCCCATATCCATTAGTGATCTGAGACACCTAACTCTATCTTTGCCTTGTTTGCATGAGCATAGTTAAGAGTTGGCCACTCTGCAATTCCATTAGATCGTGGCTAATCTGATTTTAATGTTAACTGTACATTCCTGCATATCCTTAAAAACTTTGCGTCCTCTTGTTCTAGACAGCTGTCACCAACATCCAGCAGAAAGAATAAAAGAAGTTACTTAATCCGTCTGTATTACCTTTCAACTTCTTTCTCTTCTCTTCACAACATGCCTCCCCATATAGCTTTGTTTTGTCAATATCTGTTATGAATGTAGATTGTAAATAGCTGAGACCCCAGCACTAATCTTTGCACTCAATCCTAACTTCAGACTGCCTCATGTATCCCTACTGGCTGTATCCTTTGGTTAATTCTCTCTCCTTGCTAATCTTAACACCACCCCACCCCCAAAAAACAAAACCATGAACCCATTTATTGTGTGTTAATATTTTATGTAGCTTTGCCATTTAAGCCATTTTGCAACTGAACTTCGACACCCATGATTTTATGATTACGGTTTACCTTTTCTGTAACATTGCTAATTTCTGGTATTAAGGGCCTCATTTATGGGATATAATTAGGTCTTCCTGAGAGGGGCAGTGAAATCCATAGTGTACCTTCTGAATTCAATTTGGTGTACTTCCTGTATTAGCCAGGAAAAAAGCCGATCAAGTCAACATAGAAATAAAAGCATGAAAAAAATCAATGAGCTATGCAATTAGGCACAGTTTACAACATATGTTTAATTTGCAGGAACAAAGTAATCTGACTTCCAAAAAAAAGATGCAGGAGCCACAAGAGTTGGTGGAAGAAACTGTTACGGTTGAAGAGGATCCAGGCACTCCCACCTCTCACGTATCTGTGGTAACGTCAGATGATGGAACTATAAGACGGACTGAAACAAAGGTAACAAATTGCTTTTATCTTAAGATGCCATGTTTAAATGGGGATGGAGCTCATACTCAAAAGTTTTCACATTCACCCACTTCAGTAAATCCATCCTACTCTGTTACTTCACCTGATGAATTTTTATCCTACTATTCTAAACTTCTTATGCTACCCTGAAGCAAATTTTGCGTACTTTCTTTTCTTTTGGTTGTCTTAAGGAGAACGTGTATCAAGGGAACAAATTAGACAGACACAAACAATTAAGATGTGGTATGATTGATTCAATCTGATTGTGCCCACATCAAATTAGATACATAGGGTAGGAAGAAACATTAATTAAGTTGGAAGAAAAATCAATTAAATTTCAAAAGAAGTCAGAGTGTTCTGAAATAACATTATTATGAGGGATTTTTGACAATGTTTAATTAATTTTTAGCGCACGTCTGGAAACTGCCAAATTTGGTGAACTAACAGCCATTATTGCATGGTCTCACAAGTATAGTCTTCCTGGTGTGCAGATCATCGGGATAGTCTCAGGATGCAGTGTGTGACCAGTAATTGATTTGAAATATTGCCTGTGCTTGTGCTTTCCCTCGTTCGGTATTTGGATGTTGACAGAGATAGCAAATTGGATCACTCCTTTCTGGAAGTAAAAACTTAGTGTTAGGGTCTTGCTGATGTTGTGGAATTAGGTTACTCCACCTTGAAGATCAGCATGTTGCTGGGAGTTTGGAGTGTAAACATGCCAGTTTAATTTGTTTCTCAAAATCTAATGACTCCCACGATGACAGGAGGGCTGATACCTTAGCGCGCACAAAATCCTGATCTGCACTTCCCCACCTCTGTTACTGCTCTCTGGTGTGGCGTACTGGAAATAGAGGCACATTATTCTTAGAGTCTTCACAAAAGACAAATGTCTTTAAGTACTCAAAATTCCCAATTTATCTGACTTTCACGCCCAAGTTAATAGAAAGCATGGATGATGTTTCTGTACTGAACAAGGATTATTATTTATTACAAGACTCTAGCTACAAGTAAACTGCAGGCATATAATGCAATGAATTAAAATTCTCATCCCTTTCAAACTCACCTTACGCGCAGACAAGCAGGGAAAAATAGGTTATTGGCAGAGGGGACCAATTGTCGACAGTATAGTTGTCTTTGTTCTGAGGTACTATTGTTAACTGATCTTGATTCTTCTGGTGGCCAGCATGTTGCTCCATTTTGTTTGTCTCTGGATGTTTCTGTTGGTTGGTAAGAGACCCAAGTTGGTTGGTTCACTTATAAAAGGGCTTGGACTTGTAAAGTTTCAGTTATTGTAGTTGTTAAAGTTAAAAGTCATAGTCTGCAATAACTGTTGTGGGAGACATGAATTTTCTCCAGTTTTAAAGTTAGTTTTGACTGCAGAGAATAAAGACACTACTTCTGAGCTGGGGAAGAACTGAACACTTTGTCTATGTAACTTATTCCCAGCTCCAAGCTGTTCAGCAACCTGAGAACTAATCAAGGCAAAAGGTTTCTGTCATCAATAACTGGTTACGAATCCATGGTCCTATCAACTTGCCAACAGAGGGTTCATTGGTGTACCTCCTTGGCTCCAAATCACTGCAATTTGAACGATTGTTTATGTGATGCTTGCTATGGATGTCTGGTTACTTTGTTTACAAAGCCACCCTCCGGAACACAGGTTTTAAAACAGTTTTCATTCCAGTTCAACACAGTATGGAACTGGAAGGACACAGCAGGCCAGGCAGCATCAGAGGAGCAGGAAAGTTCATGTTTTGGGTAGGGACCCTTCTTCAGAAATGACCCGAAACGTCAACTTTCCTCCTCCTCTGATGCTGCCAGGCCTGCTGTGTTCTTCCAGCTCCATACTGTTATCTCTGAAGCCAGCATCTGCAGATCTTGCTATCTCATTTCAGTTCAGTTTTTTTTTAAAAAGCCCAATATAGGTCTAGGCCCGAAACGTCAGCCTTCCTGCTCCTCTGATGCTGCTTGGCCTGCTGTGTTCATCCAGCCGTACATCTTGTTATACAGTGGATCCCCTTCATTTCACAGAGCCACTGTATGCACTTGTAAGTGGCTGAACAATGCTTTGCGCAGAACAGGAAAGTTCAGCCCTATCCCATAACCCTGACCAGTCTGGATTGAAGTCAAGCTCTAACGGAGGAGCAGAGGTTTTTGTAATTTGTGATTCAGAGAACTTGGGGCCACCTGCAATGATAAGTAACTTTGTGAATATATATCTTGAGCAAAACTGATCTTAGATTGACATTCGTTAGAAGCAGCTTATCAGGTGAAGTGCTTTTTTCAGCACACTTGAACACAGTGGTCTTTGTTGGTACAGATGTGCTTAATGACCATTTGTGCCATGCATTTATTTGTCATTGCCAAAATTTGAGCCACAGTACTGGATTACAGCCAGTCTAATTGGCTATGTTCTGTTCTTAGACTCTAGTATTTCTGTTGTGACCCTGCTGTCAGCATGCAAATTTCTACACATAACACTGGCTTTGGAGAAGCCAAGGAGTGGGTGTGTCTAAATATAGAACAGTCATTGATTCATCCTTTGAACAAGCGCTTAGTTAGCCACATACTCTTAAGTATTTTTCTTCAGCAAAGGTTAGTGATGGGTTTCCACAACAACCTGTTGCCATGGTAACATGCTCGCTTTGTGAGGTCTTGTGCCTTAGCTATCGATAAAGTCTCCACCTGCCACTGGCAACTGCAGTATCTTTTTAACAACCAGCAACACTTGTTTATTCTGCATTGCACCACATCCTGTTCTTGGTTCAAGGGAGAGCAATGAGCATGTGTGGAAACCTGTGAATATTTTGAGCTTATTAGTGGGAATACCTATGCAAGCAAAACACACAAATGTGTTCTGCTTCAGTTTAATACTAACCTCGAGGTCTTTCCGTAATTGCATGTGCCATGTCCAGCTGAAACATCATTATGTGACAGTCTGTCCATGCAGGTGTCATTTTGAGTAATAATCCAACCAGAATCTGGCTTGAAGTTGTACTGTCACTCCTGTCACAGCTGACTGAAGACTCATCAAGATGTAGTGTTGCACAAATTTGAATATAGCTGCACCCTGAATGACATGTTCCTCTCTTGCATTGTTACACAGCTTTATTGATTGATGCCACGTCCATACCTTTTAATGGGCTCCTTGCTCTTATCTTAGGCAAATTATTACTTCCAATCCAATGTTTTGAATTGTGGAATGTTTGTTTTTGGATAAAGTTTCCTTATTTAATGTTGACAGTTCATTCAGTGGTGGTCTAAAAATCACGGCCCAATTTGTTCTTTTATATCTCAGCACATCAAATAGAGCATCTTTGTAATATTTGAAAATTGTTCTCACTACACTGATTTTGAAACTGTAATAAATATTCGTGAATATTGGTTTGATTCTTTACAACTTAGTAATTGTAAATTCTAGCACTTGTGTTAATTTAGGCTGAGAATGCTAAGTTAATAACCGAAGAAATGGTTTGAAGCGAGTAATATTTGCACTAATTTATGGCAACTATCTATACATGCTCACATGAACATGCAGTGCTGTTTGAGTTGACTCTTTAGGATAATTTCTGCTGTATAAAAAATATTTAGAACAGTAATCCTCAGCCTGCTATGAATTTAGAAAAAGAGGAACCTCTCTTGATCAGTGAAATACTGGGCCTTTACATTGGATCTTATTGGTTTGACAGCATTGTTTTCTTAGGTATTTTCATTAACCTGTGCAGAGAAGTTATTACATACTTCTGGAGCAGGTGCAACTTGAACCTGGGCCTCCTTTCCCAGCAATTGGCACACTGTACCACAAGCCCCTGCATTGCTTTTGTAAGCTTATATCAAGGTACCATACCCCCAACTTCTGCTTGGTTAATGTTGGTTGTAAAAATTAGTGCACCTATTCCCTGGCAACTGTTGTGGAATCTCTGGTACATGGCCCAGTGTTTTTTGAAGTTTGCTCAGTTCAGGTGTGTCAATTAGTAAATTGCAATATTAGTTTTTTTTCTTGGGTGTTTAATTCTGTTAACAAATTAGTAGCATCACAATCCATTAGAGACAAAAAAAACTGCAGATGCTGGAATCCAAGGTAGACAAATAAGAGGCTGGAAGAACACTGCAAGCCAGGCAGCATCTGTCCTGAAGAAGGGTAATACCACCCGAAACATTGACTGCTCCTTTCCTCCAGATGCTGCCTGGCTTGCTGTGTTGTCCCAGCCTCCTGTTGGTCTATCACAATACATGTTGTGTTTGTTCACCCTCTGAACAGAAACCAGTTTAGACTGAGTGTTGGATGTATAGTTCTAAGATTATTGAATTTATATTTTCCAGCAGTATGATCTTAATTTGTGAGAAGTATTCTGATGTCTCTGAAGATATGACCTGTTTGTTTTTGCATGTAGGGATCAACAATGCAAGTGAGTTTTTAACAAACATGAAAGGAATTATTTTGTAAGTGTTTTACATTGCTTGAGTCAGGTTACTCCAGCTCCTAAAATTGAGCACTTTGAATATTGATATTTCAGCAGATAACATGCTGTTCATTTTGCATTCTGAATATGAACAGTTGCTCTTCATAGTGAACGTGATTAAATTACTGCCCTGCTGTTATGGGCAGTATGACAGTTGTAGTGTTATCCACTGCGAAGCCGTATTTGTGATTAGAACAATGGATGACCAGCCATCATAGGTTAATGATAAGACTGGGGATGCAGTTCTGTTAGTCGCCTCCAACACCCCACCCCCACCCCTCCCAACAAGTGTACCAAGCTCCAACTGCTTAATTAATTGAAAATATCGGCAATGAAGTTTTTGAAAATGTGTTAGACTATCCCCAGAAGCTCAGCTATTAAAGGCATTAATTAGTTTTGCTGTGTAGACCAAGGATCTTGCTTTGTGTTTGTGCTCCATTTTTGCCCACTGCAGTTGAGGCTTGTACCTGAAATGAAGCATGCTGGAAAGCAATAGTAGACATAGTTCAACAAAAAGTTGGTGTTCTGAGTGCAGGAATGGAATAAATTTGGCTAGCGGGGAGGAAAAACACCAGAGAGAAGAAAAAAAACAATTTTGTGTAAAATATTCTCATTCTTCTGATGGTGATCCCTGTTGACTTTTAAACCAGTTTCAACTTTAGGTAGAAAAATAGAGGTTGCTGGAAAACTTGAGCAGTCTGGTAGCATCTATCAAGAAAAATCAGAATTAATGTTTTGGGTCTGGTGATCCTTTCTCAGAACTGATGGTCGATAGGAAAATGTTGTTTTATATGCACAAGATAGGGAGGGGGAGGAGTAAAGGAGGAAACAAAAGGTGGGGATAGAGCCCAAAGAAAAAGAAGAGCAGTTGGATAGACAAAGCAGTGAATAACAATCTGGCTCGGTGGGTGAATAGTTAATGGGGACTGTTAGTGACTATTAATAGGTAGTGTGCAATGGCAGGCTGTGATAACAAGGCCTGGTGTGTGAGGCTGGGATCTAGGACATGGGAGAGTTTAGGCCCTAAAACTATTGAACTCAAAATTGGAGGGCCGCAGGGTCCCCAAGCGGCAAATGAAATGTTGCTCTAGCTTCAAAGGAGCACTCCAGTAAGCCTGAGACAAACGTTGGCCAGGGAACAGGGTGGTGTGTTAAAGTGGCAGGTAACTGGAAGCTAAGGGTCTTTTTTGCAAACAGAATACAGATGTTCTGTAAAGCGGTCACCAAGTCTATGTTTCGTTTTCCCAATGAAGAGGAGACCACATTGTGAGCAGCATCCACATCCAGAAGATCAGACACCATTTCCGCCACCTCAGGCGAGATGCCGCCACCACCACATATTCCCCTTCCTTGTCCACCTTCCGCAGGGACCATTCCCTCCAGGACACCCTGGTCCACTCGTCCTTCACTCCCAACAACCTGTCCCCCACCTTCCCCTGCAACTGCAGAAGGTGCAACACCTGCCCATTTACTTCCTCCGTCGTCAGTATCCATGGGCCCAAGCATACCATCCAGGTGAAACAGCACTTCACCTGCACTTCACACAATCTAGTCTACTGCGTTCGCTGCTCACAACATGGTCTGCTCTACATTGGGGAAATGAAGTGTTGACTGGGTGACCGCTTTGCAGAACATCTACATTCTGCCTGTAAAAAAGACCCTGAGCTTCCAGTTGCCTGCCACTTTAATACATCACCCTGTTCCCTGGCCAACATCTTTGTCTCGGGTTTGCTGCAGTGTTCCAGTGTTCCAGTGAAGCTCGGCGCAAGCTGGAGCAACAACACCTCGTTTTCTACTTGGGGAACCTGCAGCCCTCCAGACTCGTATCAAGTTCAATAATTTTCGGGCCTGAACTCTCCCATGTCCGAGCCCCCAACCCCACACACCAGGCATTGTTGTCACAACAATCTGCCATTACACTCTACCTATTGTTGGCCACTAACAGTCCCCATTAACAACTATTCACTCTCCTAGCCAGATCATTATCAACTCCTTTTGTCTGTCCAATTGCTGCGCGCTCTCTCTCTCTCGCGCGCTCTCTTTCCCCACCTACTGTTTACTCCCTATCTTCTGCATGTAAACCGAAGTTTTCCGAGCTACCGTCAGTTCTGAGGAAGGGTCACCAGACCCAATACGTTAACTCTGACTTTTCTTCACAGATGCTGCCAGACCTGCTGAGCTTTTCCAGCAACCTCTGTTTTTGTTCATGATTTACAGCATCCGCAGTTCTTAAGGTATTTATTTAATTTTAGTTACATGAACATCCACCTGAAGCTTTTGATCAATGTTGGAAAATGAAAATTTGTACTTGGTTGAGAGACAGCAATGAATTGATTAAAATGTTTACATTATTTGATGTTTTTACTATCTAATTTTTTTTTCTGATTTGATTTGCCTGCATATTTGCAACATTTGGATTGCTGTTTGTGTTCACCGCAAAATAGATTTCACATCAATCCTTGTACGACAGAATATTTGAAGCATTTGCGTTAAGATTTCATTGAAGTCTCCAGAGAATTGTTTAAAACAAATAGCATATTCAGGGGTTTATATCCTGCTGTACTTCAGTGTCTATGCATTATCAACACTTGAATAAATCTGGTTTCTCTTTGGTAAATTTGCGGCGAAATCAGTATTACTCTACTGTTGTGAATTTCTTGTCGATTCGTATGCTGATGAACGTTTTTATTAAATTTGTTTGCAGGTTACTAAAGTGGTTAAAACTGTGACAACCAGAACAGTGCGGCAGGTACCACTTGGGCCAGATGGATTGCCTGCAGAGGGGTCTTCTCCTGCGGGCAGTTGTACAGATTCCATTGACAGAAGATACATGAAAAATGGAGACCGTTATATCACACCACAGGCGAATTCAACTTTAACCAGAGGCTACACCAACTATCCTGACACGTATGAGAATCGCCATGATACATACCGTTCATACACTGCCCAGGATGGATTTGCTGATGTTTCTGATAACTATGGAAGCCTATCGCGAGGTGTTCATTACCGTCCGCGCTATGCTTTCGTGCCACGAGACAACTATAGGCCAGATGAGAATTACACATTGCTAGCTAGAAACAAGTATGCCGTTGCCCAACCACAAGTGCAACCAGATGGCAGTCTTGACCTGAGCCGATCTCAACCAGAGCGTTTCCAACCAGAGCCTTATGGACTTGAAGATGACCACAGAAGTCTAGGACCTGATGATGATGGATATGAATTGGATGGAGAGCCAGAACCAGATTATTCTACAGCAGGTCGAAGGGTGCCCCCAAGGGCTAATGGAAGGAGACCAAGGAGGTAAGAATTAGACTTCAGTAATGATGGTTGGAGTCCTTCTCTTTGCATGAGCAATACATTGTAAGCCACTGAATTATGGTTTACAACGTATCAGCATAATTTTGACTGTTGTAATGGCGTTTTCCCTGTGCTACTTGATCTGTTCTGTGCTTGCACTTTCCTGTACACCCCCCCCAGCCTGTTCAGTTTTATTCTGTTTGCTTATGATTATTTCAGGAGGATCATGAATGATTAAGTTTGGTGTCCTATTATTAGCACTGTTTGTATTCCAATTTAATTGCCATTTTACACAGAGTAATCTGTCAACACAATTTTTATTGTTTGATATCAATAATACTCAACATGGTTTTGCAAAATTTGATAGTTCTTTTAGGATATAACAAGCAAAGTTAATAAAGGAGAACTGGTTGATTTTAGTGTATTTGGATTTAAGAAGGCACTCAGTAAGGTGTAGACATTAAAAGGTTATTGCACGAGACAGGACCTCATGGTATTGGGAGTAATATATTATAGGTTGGTTAACCTGCAGAAGATAACGTTGGTATTAATGGGCCTTTTTTTAAGGTTAGAAAAATATAACTAGTGGATTGTCACAAGGATCAATGTGAGGCCGTCAATTGTTTACAGTATATTAATGACTAGAAGGAGGGGTTCAGAATGTAATGTATCCAAATTTGCTGATGATACAAAAATAGTTGGGAGAACACCTTGTGATAAAACCATAAGGAATCTGCAAGGGGTTAAAAATGGTTTGAGTGAATGGGAATAATAACTTGACAGTTGGAGTTTCATGTAGGAAAGTGGAATGTCATGCACTTAGGTAGGAAGAAACAAAAGGCAGACTATTATTTAAATGGGAAGAAACTCCAATAAGTGCTGTGCAGATGGATCTGGTTGTTCTTGTGCATGAAGCACACAAAGTTCGTATGTAGGTACAGCAAGCAATTAAGGTTACAAATAGAATTTTGACCTTAACTGTGAGATGGTTTGAATTTCAAAATAAGTGAATCACTGTAATATCAGACAGCCAAAAGGCTGCGCTCCAATTAGAGAGAGACAGTTGGCGCTGAGTTTAGCATAACAGTCACCATTGCCTTGGGTGAGGGGATGACCTTGAAAGGTAGAGCCTTCATGGTAACTTCAGCTGGTAGCTCAGTTGCTTGGATGGCTGGTTTGAGATGCAGAGTGACACCAGCAGCACGGGTTCAATTGGCATTTAGGCTGAGGTCACCATGAAGGTCCCATCATCACAACCCCCATCCTTCACCTGAGGCGCAGTTACTCTCGAGTTAAGCTCACCACCACTAGTCTCTCTCTAATGAGAGAGCAGCCCTGTTGTCCTCTGGGACTAGGACTTTACATTCAAAACAGAGGTCTCATTACACCTCTATCCATGATGTTGTGGTCATGTCTCAATGTCTGAGCCAAGCGGCCAGGATTCAAGTCTCTCTTGTTCCAGAGGTGTGTAGTAATGTCTCCGAACAGGTTGATTCAGAAAATCTATAAACTGGAATTGGAGTCTGTTCAAAAGAGGTTCAAGAGGCTGTTTCCTGGAGAGTAGGGTTTGACTTTATTAAGGTGGCTAAATCTATTAGGCTTTTTATTCATTAGGGTTTAAAGAATGAATAGTGGTCTGATTGAAAGATAGAAGGCTCTGAGGGGGCTTGATGGACTACATGTTCAGAAGATGTTTTCATTTGTGGAGAAATTTTGAACTGGGGGCATAGTTGCAGAATAAGGGAGACTTATTTAAGCCTGAGATGTGACAGAATCTCTTCTCCCAGAATGTAGTAAATATTTATGATTCTCTATCTTAGTGTTGTGGAGGCTAGATGATGAAGTATTTTTGAAGTATCAGGAAATTGGCTACACTGAGCTGGCGCAAAACAAGTTGAGCCCGGGGACAGATCTTATTGAATGGTGGGGCATGCTTGAGAGGCCAAATAGCCTACTCCTGCTCTTATGTTTGTGCCTGTTTTGTTACCCCACACCCTGCAAAAACAAAAAAAACTGTCTCGAGTAATTTAGCTATTGTGTTACTACATTTCTTTAACATATGCAAGACATATAGGAGTCATGAGATTAATTTGATAATGTTACTGTTCAAACTGCATGCCTTGCAGCTAATATTGGACACCTCAATGGCTTCAGGCTTTCCAAAGTATAGCAAATGTTGACAACATGAAAAGTGGAAGAAAACTTGGTGATACAATGGTTCACTTAACAGTATTTGTTTGTTTCTCATCAGTGATTTGGTTGTGCAAGCATCAAGATGTTTCAGCAATCTTTTATCCTATCTTAAGAATGATACAGTCTACTGATAATGTAAAGGCCCCTAAATGATCCAACAATGTGAAATGTGCAGTTTAATTAAGAAAGCAAAGTGGTAATTTCAAACTTAATGGTTTCAATTATCCTATAATTTAGATTAATGGATTTTAAATTAAGTAGTTTGTATTTGTATTCTTCAAATTAAGTTTGGCAGAAACTCCAGAATTAACTTAATGGATAGGAGAAAGCGTACAAATTAAAACAATTATCTTTATCCTCTTCTCTGTACCTTCAAAATTGGAATGTTTGTTGTCATATCTCCCATCATCTCTAACTTAATTTGCTGGTAATTAAAAGAAATATTTAACGTGATTAATTATTTATAAGGGCCTGAAAGGTAACATTTACTTCATTTAGTGTATGAAACTAGACTGATTTGTCCTTGTCCATCTTAAGTAATTTAAGCTAAATGCTCTTAATCACGTAGAATTGTATATGGACAGTCAAGACCAGTTTAATGTTTAAAAATTCGTCAAAAGTAAGTCAAAGTTAGTTAGGAAAGCTGATGACCTATGGAAATCTTACATTAGTGTAGTCAAGTCACACACTCTCAATTAATGTGGAGCAGACAAGAAGAAACAGTAGTGGGGAGGAAAGGTGGGCATCAAAGGTTAGGTGCTTTGGAAAGATGAGTTGCAGGAGAGGGGAAGTTTGAAGGGAATAGAAGACGTAGAAACATAGGAGCTGGAGGAGGCCATTTGGCACTTCGAATTTGCTCAACCGTTCTTCACAGTCATGGCTGATTGTCCAACTCAATAGTCTAACCCTGCTTTCTCTCCATAACCTTGGACCCCATTCGCCCCAAGTGCTATATCTAACTGCCTCTTGAATGTATTCAAATGTTTTGGCATCAACTACTTCCTGTGGTAATGAATTCCACAGACTTGCCTCTCTTTGGGTGAAGAAATGCATCTCCGTCCTAAATAGCCTACGCTGAATCCTCATACTTTGACCCCTGATTCTGGACACACTTACCACCAGGAACATCCTCCCTGCATCTACCCTGTTCAGTCCTGCTAGACTTGTATTAGTCTTTGAGATCCCCCCCTCATTCATCTGAACTCGAGCAAAAATAATCCTAACCTAGTCAATCTCTCCTCATATGTCAGACCCACCATCCCCTGAATCAGCCTGGTAAACCTTCACTGCACTCTGTTGAGCAAGAGCATCTTTCTTCAGAAAAGGAGACCAAAACTTCACACAATATTCTGGGTGCGGTCTCACCGAGGCCCTGTACAACCGCAACAACACGTCCCTGCTCCTGTACTCCACCTCTTGCCATGAAGGCCAACATACCATTTGCCTTCTTTACCACCTGCTGCACCTGTATGCTTACCTCCAGCAACCAGTGCACAAGAATGCCCAGGTCCCACTGCACACTCCCCTCTCCCAATTTACAGCCAGTCAGGTAGTAATCTGTCGTCTTGTTTTTGCTTCCAAAGTGAATAACCTCATATTTATCCAAATTATGCTGCATCAGCCATTGATTTGCCCACTCACCCAACCTGTCGAGATTATGCTGAAGGATCTCTGCATCCTCGTCACAGTTCACCCTCCCACCCAACTCGGTATCATCTGCAAACTTGGAGATGTTGCATTTTGTTCCCTCATCCAAATCATTAATGTATATTGTGAATAGCTGGGATCCCTGCACCTCACTAGTTACTGCCTGCCAATTTGAAAAGGACCAGTTAATTCTTACTCTTTGTTTCCTCTCTGCCAACCAGTTTCCTATCCATCTCAGTACACTTCCCCCAGTCCCAGGCGCTTTAATGTTGTACATTAATCTCTTATGTGGGACCTTGTCAAATGCTTTCTGAAAGTCCAAATATACTACATCAACTCACTACCCCTTGTCCACTCTCCTAGTTACATCTTCAGAGAATTCCAACAGATTTGTCAAGCATGATTTCCCCTTTTCCCCTCTGTCTGATCCTGCCACTGCTTTCTAAATGCTCTGCTATAAAATCCTTGACAATGGATTCGAGAATTTTTCCCATTACCAATGTTTGGCTCACCAGTCTATAATTCCCTGTTTTCACTCTCCCTCCGTTTTTGGATATTGGAGTGACGTTAGCCACCCTCCAATCTGCAGGGACTGTTCCAGAGTCTATAGAATCCTGGAAGATGACGACCAATGTATCCGTTATTTGTAGAGCTACTTCCTTAAGTACTCTGGGATGTAGATTATCAGGCCCTGGAGATTTTTCGGCCTTCAATCCCAACAATTTTACCAGCACCATTTCTCTACTAATATTGATCTTCCTTGGTTCTTCCCTTCCACTAAATCTTGCATCCTCCAACAATTCTGATATCTGATTTGTGTCCTCTTCTCTGAAGACAGAACCAAACTATGTATTCAGTTCCTCAGCCATTTTTTTGTCTCCTATTATACATTCCCTGTTTCTTTCTGTAGGGGACCTACATTTGTCTTTATCAATCTCTTTTTCTTCACGTACCTATAGAAGCTCTTAGCGTCACTCTTCGTGTTCCCTGCAAGCTTACTCTCGTATTCTATTTTCCCCTCCTTAATCAATCCCTTGGGCCTTTTCTGAATTCTAAACTGCTCCCAGTCCTCAGATTTATTATTTTTCTTGGGCAATCAGTTGCTTCTTACTTGGAATGGATACTATCTCTTATTTCCTTTATAAGCCATGGATTGGCCCTCT